ATGGTTTTTCTTCATCCACGCAAACTGACCACCTCTACCTTGAGTGCTAATGGGCCTTAAACCGCAAACACCGCCTTTAACCAGAGCCAATTATATCTCAATGAATGGCGCCATTCCATCAATAGGAAACTGACCAGCTTTCGAAGCTAGACTTTCTTGTGGAGCGAAACTAACTCAGAACACTACGTGCTGAGTGGGAATCTACCATCAGGATTCACCACAAAAATCATGGGAATCTTAAATTATCCATAAGCGATAGTTTGGGATTCTCGTGATTTTCACAGTCTAGATCTGGCCTGCAACTTCCTGTCTTCCAGGTGCGCTGACTATTAGCCTCGAAATTCATGACCGCTTATGCACACTTGCAAGTTTGTCTCAGAGAGGATTTCATTTTGCGATCCCTCTTTTTTGTAAAGATTTCGTCTCCGTAGATCGCTTCTTTTCCCAACTACATACATATCTCTGATGCCATTACTCACATTTCACGTCACTCTTTCTCTCCCCTCTGTAGTTATAGAAGCCTAAAGAAGAAGTTTTCGGCCACTGTGCTCTAAGAGCGGCAGTTTGGAAATGTCCTTAAAGAAGATAAAGGGTCATTCTAAGTGAGAAACCAAGGACCACGCAGGCGCAAAGAATGGGTCAAACAACAAATTGTATAAGAGCAGATAATACCTCTGACCAGGAGATGATACCATCTCCAAAATTTAACGTCATGAGAATGAGTGGCGAGAAGCCTCAGTGAAGAAAATAAAGGGCGACACGCGAAGAATTTGTCATGCTGAAAAATGGAAAACGGAGTAGCCACAAGAAAACTGCGACGCCTGCTAATTTAAAGCCACATCCCGTGATGGCCTCCGGGTCACGGTTAGTCAGTACTGACGGGAACAAATGAAATTGACTACTATTCCTTGGAAAGCTGATCGTGTGGGCTGAGACTGATCCACCTACTCATTGGTCCAATCTTTGTCATCTAAGGCCGATGTCAGACTTTGCAAATCGAGCGATTCGCTGGCAACCACGGTCACGTCGCGAACATCGAATGCAGCCACTCGCTGTACTCGACGCGACTTCGCACGCTAGCAAATTCGCAAAGTCTGACATCGGCCTAAAAGACACACTTCGTCGGTGGACAAAGGAAGGAGACAACCAACACGATGGGCTTCCGAGGATACGTATCAGTTTTGCTTGCACTAATCATTACTGGTCAAGTAAGTGCCACATCTATTTTGAAATTTGAGCGTAAGAACCTCAATCTGGGAAGTTGTGAAACGTGCCTTTAGAACAGCAACGGTGCGTAGCTGGCGCTCAGAACAGAAAGAGTAAGAAAGTGTTCGCTACTCCCACTACAATGGTCTCCACAAGATTGTTTTTGCCTTTTTTGGTAATTTTCCAGAATTTCAGGCTCTGGTAGTTTTCTATTTATTTGCAACTACCTACCGCTATTTCTATGTTCTCGTTTGAGCCGAGTGATCGTCAAATCAATTGTTCCAAAGCATTCAAATCGAATTTCAGTTCAATGACATACTCAACGACTTCACAAATAGCATTGGTACTGTTGTCCCTACAGTACTCAACCGCTTACATCCAAAATGCTGTCTGTCCACAGTGTGCTGGAATGAACTCACAATACCTCACTGGCTCCTACAATGGATACACAAATATCGGTACGCGTCGCCAACAATTTCTAACATTGTAATACTGTAAGTGTACAGTACTACTGTTTCAGCCCCAATCCATTGTCCTATTTCAATGGCCCCACAGATTTCGGTAATCAACTTGGAAAAGCTATCGCTACGCGGATAAACGAGGTTAGAGGTTTTTCAATACCATTTGAAAAACGACAAGAAAATTGGAACCAGAAAAAAATCAATTAAAAGATACCATAATTTCGATTCCTGTTTTAATCAAGATGCAGTATTCCGTCTGACTGTTCCTTAAAGTTCGGTGATTTTTCGAGAGATTTCTCCAGCTAAGGTTTTTCAGATTCCTCAAAAACCACCTGCAGGCGAATCATAATAGGTCTCATACTATATGGAAAGATTTCTTCTCCACACTAGGAAGAGACCAAAAGTATTCCGCTGCGTGGCCGCTTATTCCGCCAATCATATTTCTTTAACGTCACTAAGGGTGGCGATTTACGGGCAAAATAACTGGGCATATTCCTCAGAAGTTACTCCGATGAGAGTAGCAGGCTCTGCGTCCACTGTCCTCTCTGATATGGGAACTTTTTTTCCATTTGGTCAATCACCGTAGGCAGACTACAAAGAACCACTGTAATCGCGTAGCTGACAACTCACATAATTTCGTCCAATCACGGTTGGCTGAATGATAGCTTCACCCGGACTAGAGGCAGTCCAAGTAATGCAAGGCCTTTTCAACCAGCGGTCCCGTACCGACGCTGGTAATGGTCCTATGATCGTGTGAGGAACTTCTTCAGTGAGAGCGGCACCTTTTCCGGCGTGGGAAGTCATCTAATCCCGTCGCGTGAAGAGGCACTACGAGGCTCTTCACAGAATGGAAATGTATTCTTCAAACTCGTAGGGGTGCATTCGGTTTTCAAGCAAAGTTCCAATTATGTTTTAAAAGGGAGAGGGGAAGGGATTTTAACGGCTCCCTCCTGCTTGCTGATATGGGCACTGCTATCGGATGCAAAGTGGCCTACAATAAGTCACAATTGGAACAATGCACACAGGCGAAACAAATTTATTCTCCTTTCCACTGATTTCGTTCACATGGAGCGTTTCGTTTCTCTCTTAATCAGCAAAAACAACCGTTTCACGACCCGTCGCCTAAGTAGAAACGCATAGGAGGTGGAAAGGAGATTTGCAAGCGTGGGGCAGTGATCCACATATGCTTGTGATGTGCAACAGAAGGAGGCATGTTGCGCGAAGTAGAAGGGGAAAATATGGGCGGAGGGTGGAGGAATCATTGCTTCCGTTTTTGCGTACTAGAGCATTTTCGCCTGGCAGGCATATGGGGATGCTTGGGGATCAGCTGCCAAATTGCCTCACATGCCCCTTATTTTGACAAATTAGCTTCATAAGCTTAGAGTTAAGTCCAGTGGCCGAATGACGTAACTTCATCGTTAAATAGTAAACTAGCGTTACGTAGCGTATCCAAGATCTTTTTCGAAGCTCAAATTCAGAAATGTGCACAGTGTGTATATGCCTTGTGTTTGTTAGGAACTTCAAAGATATTAGACAAAAAATAGCGATTTTTGTAGGAAGGAAAATAAAGGAGAGCAGAAGAAGAAGATGGAAGAAGATGGTAGACGTTCGAAAACTCGTTTAGCGAAGCGATACGTTCACGGCAATAAAAATTGAAAAGATATCGACATCCTTGATCATCACAGACTCAATCATGCAGAATCGAACACAGTAACGTCCACGCAAAAGCACTCACCGAAGGCGCGTCGCTGTAACGTCAATCTCCTGACCCGCATCAGGCCATTTGATTGTGCTAACACTTGACGAAACATTTGAGGCATTTTTTTTTCTAATTCAAGGATAAATAATTTGCAAATCTAAAGTCAATAACTTTTTATTGAAACGGTCGCGATACTGCTCGTCATTTAGAATTTAGATTTCTCATCGCCACTAAGCTTCTATATCGGGGAAAATTTGGAACCAAATGAATGATCATTTTCAAGCTGAAAAATCCTACGTAGAAAATGCTACAAATTTTACATATAAATTATGTAAATCAATTGGAGTAACTCGTTTAGGCCTACGTACCGGACGCCTCGAATCGAATGACGTTTGGCTCGTACCCCACGTCCAGTTTCACCAACCAAGCACTTGGCGGACAGAACTACGTCGTACAACCGGATTTATATCAACAAGCGCTATCCGGTTACGGTACTCAAGGACTCGGCGGTTATCCGACAATGTCATTTAATAGTTTCCCTAATTATGGTTTCGGAGCAGGACAACAAACGATGCTACCAAGCACCGGTGGCTACACATTCGGTAACTTCAACAACCTTGGCGCCACCAGCTATGGCACCAACACGTATGGAAATTACGGCACGGGCACCTACGGCATTCCTGACCCGATCACAACCGGTGGCTCAACTGGTGGCAGCTGTCCGTATTGTTTCGGCAACAAGGGTGGTTACAAAACGAAAAAGGCTAAACGTGCTTCAACTACGAAGAAGAATTAAACACCGCACCTACGAGTTCACACAAAGTCCCTCAGATTTTAAGTTATTGATTGAAAATAATAAAGGTCGCATATTAATTATTTCGCTATAAAGATTAATAATTTTTAGTTGAGACGACAAAATCCATCATAAAACAACGAATCAGTACATCTGAAATCCCGAGTCATTTTCAGTCGCACTATAGTTATGCTCTGCGAAAAGAGGGTAAGTCACTCGAACCTCGTCGCTAAGACATGTAAAACAGACACAACAAAGCATACCGCTTTATTCACACGGAGGTCCATTAATGGGAGAAAAACGAGTGAAATCTCTTCGAATACATAAATGACACATGAATAAATTTTGAAACGTGAACATGATACCAACTACTGCTAAAAGAATGCAGAAAACGAGTATCTGAAACGCTATCATCGGGGCTTAATAAGTTACGAAGATCCAAGATACGATATTTGAACTTAGTTATTTTTACACAAACCATATTATTACATGATTATTATTATACATAGAGCAGTTAATTATATGTGAGATGAATATACGAGAAAGTGAGGACAAACAATTCATGCCTTAAAAAGCACCAACCATTTCACAATCTAATTGGATGGATGTCAACGGACAGATCAGTCACTGTCGCTATCGACTACCCTCCTCTTCTTCTTTCCTAGCTGGAAAGTCTTCATCCTCGTCCTCATCATCAGTGCCACCATAATTATATTTCGCAGCCGGTCGAGGACGTCGACTTAAACAAATGTGATCGTAACGAGGAATTTTCTCTATTGCCCGTAATTTTACAAAAAAGAACAGCGGAACATTAAAATATGTAGTATACCTTATCTGCCGTGGAGCTGGAGGTGGTGAATTATCCTCTATTACAACTTCATCATCTGACTCTGAGTCATCACCCTTCTTCTTGCTTTTGCTCTGAAAAAGCCATACAATTGAAATCTACAAATGAAATTTGTTGAGTGGTATTCATTTCGATTGTTTTAACTGCACCTAACTGATAAACCCGTCACGCAGTTTGATCGTCATTCGATAATACTCAGGTGACTACCTGAGGGCCCATATTCTATCGCTAACCCGACTTGAGAAGTGACCCCCCTCCTCCGAATATAGAGATCCGCCTTTCTCTTGTTGCTAACGCTCGATACTTAGACCGCTTGAGACAGGCAACGCAGCGGTCCAACTGATCAATAACGATCCTTAAATACTATTATTTGTCTGTTCCTAACCGAGAAACCACATCTCCCCTTCGCCTAAGATGAAAAAAGGAAACTAAAATTGTGACGGGACTCAACCGAGGTGGAAGGATAGCCTACGATTCACACACTTAATGGGGAAGTTATCTTACAACTCGCATAAAACCAAAAAAGGAGGGAGAGGGTAAGTAATCTCAAACGCCCACAAAGTTATAAAAGACAGAAGCAAAAAACAAACATGATCATTGGAGGCGAATTTCTTCGTGCACCAAAGTGGAATGAATCGCAAAAGGAACGAACCTTTTTCCCAAAGAAGTCTGTCATCTTGGGAGAGTCAGTCGTACCATTTTCTTTCTTTGCCTTTTGCTGGTGCTCTCTCCTTTTTAGGTGGTGCAGCCGTCTTCTTTGCTGGAGCCTTCTTTTTTGCAGCTGGCTTTTCGTTCATCGTCATCGGGAAATTTTTCAAAGACATCATAGTCATCAGAAGTCTAAAACGAGTACCGTCTTGATAATAATAAGTTGTCGTTCGATATAGAATAATGGGAATAAGTGGCTAACCTTTTTGCTTCTCTTCGATGTCGTCTCAGTATCGCTAATATCACCAGCAGCAAGATTCTTCTTCTTCGCTGGTGGTTTCTTAACGGGACTTGCCTGCTGAAAAAAACCGATAACTGGCTAACAGTCTGCCGTCTAGCTTCTTAACTTAAAACTATAACCAACCGTTGCTGACTTCTTCGCTGGAGGTGAGTCGCTGAAACTCTCGTCACTGTCAACAATCTTCTTCTTCTTCGGAGCAGACTTTTTGACCGGTTCGGACTGAAACTTGTAGGCAACACTCTCTTATGCCAATCCCCAGTAAATTTAACGATCCATAAAAGGTAGAAGAGAATTACTGAAGAAGTTGTGTCTTACTAACCTTCACAGGTGACGAAGCTTCGTTATCGTCGTCTAACATCACAATGTCACTTCCAGCATCACCAGCAGCATTTCCGTTTGTCATCTCTTCACCATCTTCTGTGTAACGCTTTGGCTGGAAATATGTAATATTTCGATTCAGATCTTTTCTGGTATTCAAACCACCAACCGGTCCTCTGGAAGCACGATCTTTCTTTGGAATGACCTCCTCCACATCATCATCGTCGTCGAACAAAGTGTTTTCTTCAGCCTGAAAGATATTCTCAACTGAATGTCCACCTTCAAATCCATGAGTCGCATAAAAAACCCACATCATCGACACCACTGAGTTCGGAACTGCTCACATCAGAATCCCATGTATCAGTCCTCTTCTTCTTTGGACTCTTTTTCTCGCTCTGAAAATCACGATAAAGGAAACCCGGTCACCACCACCATAACGTGGGCAAACTACTCAAATGTCAAGCTCCTTTTACCTTGAGGAATTTCTTAATGTCATCGCCTTCAACCTTCGGTTTCTTAGGTTCTTTAGGCGGCTTTGGCTCCTTCGGTTTCTTCTCCCTCGTCGCCGCCGCCTTTATCTTATCGTACTTTTCCTTCAGTGATTTGTCGATGCCTGGCTCGATACGGATACCGTCCTTTGAAGGGAACACTTCCTGAAGCATACTGCTCATTTCTTATTTTTTCATCGAAAAAAAAAACGGAAGACATACCGCCGCAAATGCTGCTGTTCTCTTCGCTCCTTTGCTTGGTTTCTCCTCCTTCGCGAACTTCTTCGCGGCGTTCTTGATGTTCGACTCCAAATCAGCCTTTTCCTTAGCTTCCTGAAAAAAGATTGATGGTATGAGCGAGATTCTTTTAGACCATGTCCAGAAAACTAAAACACGACGCAAGCTCACCTGTTTGTCCAAGGCCTCAAGGAATGTGTCGAGATCAGCATTCCAGAGATCGGCCCAAGACTTCGATTCCAAATCGCGTAGTTCTTTCATTTTATCGTCACTCTCCTTGAGCAACTTATTTTTCTCTTCCTCCGACAGTTTGATCAGAGCCATGCCAACAAGGTAATCATAGTCGGACAGTTTCGTATCGAGATCCTTGTCTTGACCGCTCTCCTATAACCAGGAATAGCGAATATAACACTTTCATCGATGGCAACTTTATATTTACGAAAAATATGGTGCAATAGTAGTTCACGGTCTCAGATTCGCCTTTTTGTAATCATACATATATTTCTTGCTACGAAAGCAAAAATGTTCCTCTGCGCCTTTATACATCACCTACACATTTCAGGTGACATTTCTAAAGCAGAGGCTTCACTGTTTGTCGTACATTTCCTTCTGTTCATTGAACACTTTTGAACAGAAAGTGTCAATTTGTAGACGACAACCAAAAATCATTGTTGGAAAAAATCTCTCATCATCGACCGAAATAATTATGCATTTCCGTGCAAAAACAGTAGAAAACGTTTCATATTTCTGATTCACCAACCTCATTCTCTTCCTCCTCCTCTTCCATGTCATATTCACCACTCTCCTCCAACTCTTTCTTCTTTTGGAGCTCCTTCCATTTCTTTACCGGATCAGGGTCAAATCCTTAAAAGGAAGAATTATTCGAAGGAAGAAAAACAGTGCGAGAACCTGGAGAATACACAAAAAAGTTACCTTTTTTGATAAGTTGCTCGACAATGTTCTGTTTCTTTTTATTCTCCATGACAATCTCGCCTTTGATTTTGCCAAAATGAAGCGAGCCTAAAAATCTCCAATAACGCTTATAACCACCTTTGATCATGACACCTTCCTTACCTGGTTGCTCAGCCGATTGGACTGCGCCCGTAACATGCCCTCCATAAATGCTTTTCTTGCGATATATTTCTGTTTCCTCGTCTCGAAGAACTCAGGCGCAAATCTCCTCCACTGTATTGAATTTTCTCAGGCAGCCAGCTGCGTCGAAAAGCACCTTAAAAATTACACGATTTCGCTGGTAAGAATCCCAAAAACAAGTTGCATAAACTAACCATTGAGGTAGTGTTCAGCACGGTCTGCAATTTGAACACCTTGTGCAGACCCTCTGCTTCCAGCTCTCTCAATTTCCCATGAGGCAACTTCACGACGAATCGAACCGTCACATCGGTATGATACTCTTTGAAATCGCTGAAGAACTCTTATTAGTGACATTCGTGCAATTACGTACGATGAACACACCTGATCATGGCCGGTTTCTTGTCATTTGACTCGAGCATTGGCTCGAGCACGGTTTCCTTATACGTTTGGGTCCACGTCTTGATGGGCAGCTCAGTGATTTCAATGGTGTCATCGCTGAGAACAGCGACCTCACCAGAACATACATACCGAGAAGAATCCAGCTGTTCGATAGTACCTCGGAAGTGTTTGAACCATGGAGCCTATACCAAACGATTCATCATTGATAGCAAAAAATCGAACAAATTGGTGCAATAAATCGCTAGGAATAATAATCGCTAAGTTTTTAATCTAGTCAAGAGATGCTCTTGATTATTAAGCAAAATCGTACCAATGGCTTCGGCTGTTCACCTCGAATGAGCTTGCGCATGTTCTCACAGATCTCTCGAGGATTATAGTTCGGAATGGACGTTGACCATCCAGTACCGAATACCTGAGAAATTCCGAAAATTAAACGTTCCAAGCTCGACGAAATAAGATGCAATTTGAGCAAATATCCCGAATTGATCAAATATTAGCCTATACTTACCTGATGCACCATTGACAAGTACAAGTGGTATAATCGGACAATACCATTCTGGTTCAATACGTTGATTTTCTTCAAATAAGAACCGCAGAACGTGATCGTCAACCACAGGGAAAATTGTACGGGAGACAGGGCTATAATAGCAGTATGTGATTCAGGAGTGCACAATTCCGTGACAAAACTGCCAAATTCATTCTCTCACTTGAGTTGCGTGAAAATGTAACGAGGAGATGCACTGTCCTTTCCTCCTTGAAGGCGAGTACCAAACTGACCGATGGGCAACAACAGGTTAATGTTGTTTGAACCAACGAAATCCTGAAACTCACTTTTGCACCTACTAATCGTGGTCAGTTTCAGTACCAGAACTAAACAGATTACAAAATTTCTGTGACACACCTGCGCCAAGTTGATGATTGTGCCCATCAACGACATTTCACCATGATGGTACGCCGACAGCTCTCCTACAGCACCAGCCAACTGCGCCACTTTCACCTCACGCTTATCAGCACGCTTGAAGCAAGCAAACATGACCTGAAAAAAATAAGTAACAGGTGACTACGGCACAAGAGCATCCACCAATTCAGTCTTACCTTTCGTTGACCAGGTTTGAAGCCATCAACCAGACTGGGAATTGAGCGCTCATTGTCAGTATTTGAGAACAACACTAACTCCTTAAATGGCAAACTTGATAAGTTCACAGCGCAGGAAAAAAGTCGAGAATATACCTTATTGACAAAGTCACTGAACGTAACCGCACGAGTATCCTTGTTGTAAAGGTACTCCTCTTCTAGGCCTCTTGCACGTCGTTCTTTCTTTTCTGCCATCCACTTTGTTAGCCAGTCCTGAAAAAAAAGATGATACCGATTATGAAGATGAACCCACACTTCCAAACAAAACAATGTGACGAGTGTGCCCTTAAGCTACTGACATACCTTCCGTTCTTCTATTTTCTTTTTGGAGAATGCCATATCAACCGCGTTATCATCTTCAACTCCTCCATATTTGAACTTGATACGATGACGGAACCATATCAGAAAAGTACTCCTTCGCCTCTTTCGAGGTGGAAGTACCTTAATTACACCAGCTTCATTTCCACGACACACTTCCAAATTACTGACTCTGGAAAACTGCTCACCCAATCCTTTGTAGTACTTGATCTTATAGGATTTCCAGTTCTCAGTGTTATTTCTCCACTCATTGTACTCCGGTATTGAGAAGAAAGATAGTTCCTCTTTTCCCTTTGTCGCCTGAATTGTAGAAATTTAATATCACGATCGTTCTAACTGCGAGATCCCACCGACCTTAACGATGGGAGTGATGAATTCCTCGACGAAGTTACGCTGAATAAGACTTGGCCAATTGTGATGGATGAAGTTGATTACGAGCCCTTTGATGTGAGAACCATCTTGATCCTTAAAAGAGACAACATTATGCAGAATCCAGATGGCAGGAGAGCCTGTTCAATCTATAGCAGCTTCCAATGTAAAGCGTTGATGTGATATACAAAAGAACAATTTGAAAATCAACCAACATTAAGTACGTCCAAAGGGGCAGAAAGGAATACGCTTACAGCCGAACATAAGAAAGAATGGCTATGGATCATAAATGACAAGAGAAAAAAGAAATTGAAGTAGTGCAACATGCAAACCGAAGGAGAGTGATGAGGCCATTTCTCATGAGTAAACTTCTCATGGAAACCCATCTAATGATATGAAATGATGCATTTAAATGTCATAATTTAACTTAGACAGTAACCCAAAGCGCCCAACCTCAAGCTATGCGCCTACGGATAGCTTCGCAAGCCCGCATTGGTATCATAATTGAGAAAAATTTTAATCGAATTCCAGAAGCCAGCAAGTTTTCAAAAAACTAACCTGATCAGCCATAACCATCACTTTCCCGTAACGCAGTGACTTGAAGTCTTCTTCAGTTTCGTATTTCTTCTTGTACTGCAAGCCAAGAATCTTGATGAGCGCATTGACCTCCACATTCTCGGCCACCTACAAAGCATAATGTGGAATTGAGTTCGTCGGAAATGTTAGCGAGTTTTTTGTCAATGTTTCCAACCTGCTTGATATTTCCTTCACGAACATTGAGCAGTTTACCGCGAAGAGGAAATACTCCGTAACGGTCACGACCGACCACACCGAGGCCAGAAACAGCCAGCGTTTTGGCTGAGTCTCCCTCAGTAAGGATAAGTGTACATAGTTGTGAGTTCTTAGTACCAGCATCGTTTGCGTCCTCCAGTTTTGGAATACCCTTAAATTGCACATAAATGTTTTCCCGAAGATCATTCGAAACCAAAAAGTGGATTCGAATTACCTTGAGCTTCGTAGCCTTCTTTCCACTGCATTTCTTATTCATGTCTTCTTGCTGCTTGAACCTCACCCAAGCAAGTACGGCGTCCACAACACCACATGTAACTGCCTTGAAGAATTTGCATGAAATATCGACTCTTCAGAATCCAGAAAATGATTTGTTGGGTAAGATGCAGAAACAATTTTATCAGTGCACTATCGGACTTATAATAGCTTTATTAATGAATTACCTGCTTGGTGAACTTTTCACTAAGCTCGCACTTTGATCCGAAAGATTTCGACTGCAGGGTCATCGTCTCCTTTGTTTGCGAGTCGAAGGTAGGATTCTCTATCAAGCAATTCACGAACACCCACATGTGATTTTTCACCTGAAATAAGAAAGTGACTATTTTATTATTACTATTATTATTTTGCTTACGGATCATACTTTACTATTCGGATGAGATTCAAGTTAAACTTGCAGAGGGCTCCTCTCAAAATGGCCAAAGAGAGCAATCTTACTTGGAATGGCTTGACGTTCACGGTACTCTTGCCAACTTTCTTTTTGATGACATCAATTAATTTAGACACCATCTGATCTGCTACGTAGTCAACATGGCGACCACCCTGAAATTAATCATTTACGTGTGCAGTGTAGATAAAGAAATAATGAAACATCCGAAGATGGGAAGGGCCTGAGACATGCAAAAATTACCTTCGTAGTCGCTATACTATTGACGAAAGATACTTGTTGGAAACCTTTCTCGGAAACAGTGAGAGCGACTTCCCATCGATCATTCACCTTAAAAGAAATAGATTAAAATGTGAACCAGACTTCAAATGAGAGCACTTTAGAGCACTTATAGAGCCATACTGTAGAGCTACCTTTCTCAAAAAAATTGAATCATTGAAGGACATCGAAACCTACCGATTCGTAAACAACTTTCGCTGGTTCGCCAGTAGGTCCAGTAATATCCTTCGTGTATTGTTCGACGTACTGTTTGAAACCTTGGACCTAAAACGCCCATTAAATACCGAGACAAAACAGTTCAAAAACGAAATCAAAGACTTACCGGTAAGGCTTTACCATTAAGGAACACCTTTACACCCTTGGTGCTACCAGCAATATCGTAAGCACGACGAGACATCAACCCGACGATGTCATCATCAAGTTGCGACATTTTGAACTTCTTCAGATCCGGTTTGAACGTGATCTGGAAGTCAAAGATAGCAATCCTTCACAATGAAAGACTGCCAAAGGTGCGGCTCACCTTTGTGTAGTCGTCACTGGTAGCCTTTACAATCTGAGGCTCCTTGTCCTTGGTCATGTTGTTAATCCAAGTCTGAAAAAGGAGGCAATGATATGATGAACAAGAATTATAGTATTGAAACCGTCACCTGCTTGAAGGCTTTCCCGTACTCCTTTGATGAGGTCTCGAGAGTAAATTCAGTTGAGAATATGTTACAAAGTTTCGCACCGTATCCATTACGACCACCAGTAACCTAAGATTGAAGAAATCGCTTCTATGACAGGAATAACAGAAAAGTTTGAACTTAAGCGACATGAAGAAACTATCAGTGACTTCAAAGCGCACCTTTCTTTCACTGTCATCGTAATTGGAAGACGTCAACAGGGTTCCGAAAATCATTTCCGGTACATACATGTTTTCCACTTTGTGGTGTACAACAGGAATTCCTTTGCCATTATTGAAAATGGAAACCTGGTTCTTTTCTCTGGAAAAAAGTGAGACTTTGACATCACACCTCCATTACCGTAACAAATGTCAAACAGTGATTGAAAGTGCCAAAGAAATAAACATTTGATGAAAGGCACTTTGAAAGCTACAAACAACGGAAAACTCACTTGTCAATGTTGATCTTGATGCAATTCATCTTTGGATCTCTCTGCTTGTTATCGGCTGCATTTACAAGAATCTCATCAAAAATTTTGTACAATCCTGGCACATATTGAATGTCCTTCAGAACGAGTTTTTCACTTTCGGTGTCATAAATCCACATCGACTGGAAGTGTATTCAAATGCGGTGAGCACATTAGTTATTGAAATTCCTAAAAAGCAGTTTTAAAAAGAACTTACAGTTTTCTCTGTATATTCCACAGATCCAATGTAGGTATCCGGGCGGAGCAAGATGTGCTCAAGTTGCGACTTCTTCTGATAGATGTCCTCGATAGCCAATTTCTTCCCCTTAGTTGCAGCTTGATCAATATTTGTAAACACATTCCTATCTTCTTCTGTCATCGTCATTGATATATCAGCTGAAAAGCCCATACGTAAGCATACAAGCAGAAAGGCTGGCCATGACCTAATACTCTGAACGTACCTATCTTATCTTTCTTATCTTTAGGCTCCTTCGGCTTTGCTGGAGCTTTCTTCTCCCCCGCCGGTTTTTTGGGAGGAGCTTTCTTTTTAGGAGAATCATCCACGAAGAAATCGCTATCGTCACTGTCGCTCATTGTGAGTAATTTAGTACAATGTTGAGAGACGAGCGACCTAAAAAAATGAGTTGATGGCCATCATCAAGACCACAAAGAACAACTAGTGAATACTAGAAACGAAAGGAAACTAAGGAAGAATATGAGCGAAAGTCACGTTTGAGTTCGATCTCATCCAGTAAGGGGGGGGCATGTGGCGCGACAGTTCGTATTGCATGAATTCACTTTTTTCAGGGGAGAGAAGCTCCGGGTGGGTGTAAAAGTTAAAACGAAATCGTTCACGCACCCCGGGGATTGCAAAAATTGGAATTTCTATAGCGGGAAAAAACTGTCACACCACATCCCCCTCCCCCTACCGGATGAGACTCTGAGTTTTCAACTGAAGCTACATGTCGGAGGATTCGACTATCCGACACAATTAAGGAGCTAAGCAACGTAGACTAGGAAAATGTCATGACAGAGAGAGTTCTGGGCGATCGAACACATGGGGGGGGAGCTTTGTAGGGGTGATAGGTTCAGGGCATCAGAATTCATGTAAAGACTATAAGAAGTCGTGCACGAGTTTTCTTTAAAAATTCCATCCCTCATTTTCCGAAGAATGAGGCAGTGAAGGGTAAATATTTAGTTCCGAGAAGTATATTCACCCAGTTCCCTTTTGCACAAAAAAACCAAAAACCAAAAAATCGGAACCAAAACAAAGTTGGGGAGGGCTATAGATCGTGCGGTGTCCACCAATGGCACAAAGCTTCGTTGCAACCCTAATTCTTCTTCGCTTTGTGTTGGTGTGTTGGACGCCTTTTATCGCACAGTGAGAAGAAACATCGTGAGCCAGAGGGTGAGGATTTCATGAGAAGACGAGACTTTGAAGAAAGTGAAGCTATACATCTTCTCTTAGCCAAAGAAGGAAAATTGGTTTCGAACGGCAACCTCCGGTGGGCATGCACTGGCGCTGGTCTGTGGAACGTCAGGCAATATGTTCTCAGTCATCGAACACAGAGCAGATAGTTTTTCGTAAAAATGTAATCCATATAGACATTGCCAGTTTTAACATCCGCAACTTTTTCTGGGGATCAGTCGTTAGAGAAGGGAGGGGGCATTAAAGTGAATAAGCGAATTACAGTACCTGGGACCAAGCTTTAGGGAAGCGAAGGAATTCTGGGGGATCGTGTGAGCTATTTTTGTTCTCTCTGACGTATCTCCCTTCTTCCCGGGATCGGTCCTAGTGTCACCTGTCAAAGTGATTTTTAAATGTCACGTATCGAATATTCCCTTCCCACAGGCCCATGAGCGCTTTTTTTCTAAACCTTTGTGACAATTATTTCCAAGAGGCACTGTCGCAATATACATGGGCATCCTCTAGAACTAAGCCACCTTGAAGTATCTCCTCCTCTTAATAAGACTTAATCCGTTGTTAAAAAAGGCACCTGTTCACACGATTGTAAAGTCATGCACAAATGCCCCGCCCTCGGACATTGCGATAACGCCCTTCCAAGGTCCGAACTGTTTGGTTTTCTGCATCAAGATCTTCCCCTACATCTCCGCTAAAGCAATCCAAAAAAGGGCAAAAATGAAACTTGTTCCAAAGATTTGACTCAGGAGCGCTACAGGCAAAAAATCCAGGTCCGTTGAACCGTTCCTAAGTGGCTAGCGCGCAAAACTGACTAAGCAACGAGTGAAATCGTCGATTTTTAACGAGGAGGAAAAAACAATGAAGCGTAAACGGAAAGTGACCGCGACTTTGGAGTGAGCGAAAGTATCGATGAACGGCCACCACGCACGCTCCTACCGCTGAAACGCAACACGCTGTTCGAAAACTGATTGTTTTGCCGGCCCGAAGCGCGGAGGCGCGCGAAAAACGGTTCATTTGAACCGGGGTTTTCCTGCAAATTCAGCTGCACTTTGTGCCCGGAAACAAATCAATGTTTCGGCGTGATCGTAATTGCTTCTATGCGCGTTATTTTTTCAAGAGGGGGGGGGTGGGGGGCTGGGTTCTGATCAGGTTTTGTGATTCGTAACGTTGTGTGAAAGTTCTCGAAAGTTCCAAGGGAATTTTAGAGATGAGTTATGTGAACGTGGGAAATTTTGTTGTGCGGCAGAAAGAAGCTCATCTGATTTCTCACCATTGATTTGGTCAGAAATCGACGTGAAATTTGTCGGGACATTTTGTGTGTTGTGAAATTCTTTCACCACCCATGGGAAGGCTGATCCTCTGGATTTTGATTTTTTAAAATGCATTCTGCATCTATTTTTATTTCATTTAGCGAATTGCAAATTCTCCTTAGATTTTATGAAAAAAGCAAGTGTTGTTGGAGTTCACTCAAGGCCATTTCTAGCAACTTTTCGAGGCATCAATTGACCTTGGGTATTGCGCGAAAATTGTTGTACAACTTCATAGTCTGGCAATTTCGCAAATCATCGATGACTAGTACTGGAAGACTTGTTTTCGACTCCATACAGATGAGTGCCAACCTTTAGACTTCTGTTCATAGGCTGGCGACTTGTGGCGATTCAGCACTCCGCCAAAAAGCCGTATCGATTTGGAAAGCGGCGATCTGGCTTTGTAGCCAGATTGCCGGTTTGCCGAATCGCAAGCCTACGATCTTTCTTTTGAATGTCACTGTCTAACAAATCTTCCTAGTCGATACTTCTGCATTTTTCGCGGAATGTACCTCGGGGCCGGGTGGGGTGAGAGGGGCAGGATGTGGTTCGCTAGGACAGAAAGCGACTTCTTCGCGTTTCGCAGCGGCGAAAAAGTCGCTTTCTGTCCTAGTGAACCACACCCGGAGGGGCAGTCTATAGGAAGGTCACTAGGGCTAAGCCCACCGAAGAGGGACGAATCTCGGAGAGAATGAAAATTGCTTATGTATCTCGATTCCCTCTTCTCCTCTAAGGCTTAGCCCTAAAACTGAGCGTTTCTGTGAAACTGATGCAATGTTACGAGCTGGCACTGAACCATATTGCGCCTACATTTCCTTCAGCGTAATCGCCAAATCGCATAATCGCCCGAAATCTGTGCCATGTGAACGCTGATCAACTCGTAACTAGACCATCGATCTGAAGCGCTATTGGTGATGGTCCTGTCCGTTGATAGGCTGTTAGGAAGGTGACTCCACGACTTCTTTGTAAGTGTCCCAAAAGGGCACAGCCCTCTTCTAATACCTGACGACGCTAACGCTCTGGCGACTTTTCCGTTCCTTCTTTCAATGAGGGGAGTTTAAAACTGAGTACTAAATTTTAACAAACATCCATCTTCCCCTTCGTAGAGGAGAGGTCGAAGCAGATGTTATCGGAGAGTGTGAGGTCAGAGCTATAAGTGACTGAGGTAACACCTGCTTCTCCATTTGTAGGAAGAAGTTGTTGGCTCCCGCGTTCTACGGCTGGTCAGAGGTGGCTAGCTATAAATTCAGGGTCTAGCCCTTCCTCGTCTTGTAAGACCGGTGGCCTTTCCGCCACCCACACCACTTCAAGCGCTTCCCTGTCTAAAAGACAATGAAACGGAGGATGAGTTCGGGAAGCAACTCCCATAGGTTCTGGTCCCATCTACAGGAGGAGGAATTCGCAAGCTGCCTGAGTGTTGGCTATGAGTGAGTGATACTTAAACGGGGATAGCGCATATTTTTAATCTCAAGATTTTTTCCAACATCATGGCAGAAGAGCTGTGGAGGAACTTCTGACCACCCAATACTTGTTTAGTTGTTAAATCATGAAGTCGCGTTGCACCTGCGCGCATTCGATTCGACCTGTACGGATCGTGGGTGTAGCAGTCCTTTTTGGTCACCGTGATGCCTAGCGGAGAAGATACTAAATCAAAAGGGTCTATTCCAGTTAGGGGGGCATCATGATGCAGTTTCTCGGCGAACTAGTGTGAACTCGAACATTCCAGCTTTTCACGCATGTCAAGTGACTGCCCTCACCCCCACCCCCTAGACTGGCTACACTCCCCCTGGCTCGGAGTTACCGTAGCTTTCTGGAAAAACTGCATCATGATGCCCCCTAACTGGATTAGACCCAATGAAAACATTTGCGAATGCATTTTTGCTTTCTAAACACTCCATCTGAAGCATTTCTGAAGCCAATAGGACATTAATTTTATGGAAATTCAAGGTAACAACGATGAATCCGATCTCATTTCCAACAACACTATCGGATGAAGAGCACGCTCTGAAAGAAATCCATGAAAAGCTAAAGCTGATGGTAGGTAACGGTTTACATTTGTGACGATCACTTAACATCTCTTCGCTTCTAGCGACGTTTGTTGGCTGAACGCAAGAGCGTGGCTGCAGGAGAAGTGTCCAGTATCGAAAAGAACAGAGTTAGAAAGTGTAGGTCTTTTCGCAAACTCCATTCGTCAAAGTCATCACGGTCCTGCTTTTGCTACAATCTAAGATATTTCAATACCTTCTATAGCTGTGGAAGATGCTGCATTTGCGACTGAAGAACTCAAAAGAAAGGTTATTGCTGGTGCCATCAAAGTCAAAAAAGTCGATGAGAAGCATACCTTCAAACGAGCAAAAATCGACAAAAAAGCCCGCACGACAAGCGTCTGTGAAGAAGGCGAAATTGACGTGAGTTTACCTTGTTTCTGAGTGGTGGAGCTGTTTCCTTGTTTTTTTTTTACATGACCGTCGAATCTTGCAAAAAGCGTGCTTGGAAGGTAAATTCACCCTAACGAATTGCCCAGCTCTTAAGTTTATCGGTCATTATTAAGCAACTTGCTGAAGCGAGACCGAGTGACTATTACTTACACTGACTTCCTCACTGAGCTTCGTTCGCACTCAGCTCTGCTCACTG